TCAGAGCTAGGGCCCTAGAATCAGGCGTGTGCGGAACTTCCATATTGACTGAGTCCTGGAGCACAGGAGCACTTGCTGTGGCTCTGGATCTGCTGGTGTCTGGTGGTGCGTGTAGGTGCAGAACTTCCATGGAACTTGGACTTGGGTCTCAGGGCCTCACAGCAGTGACTTGGCCAACGTGCAGGGATGCAGCAGTGGCACAGGCCTTGAGACGACAAAGTCCATTGGTAGATTGGGGCCCAGGGGGGCAGGTTGCAGTAGCAGCACAGCCTGGGGGTGGTGGTCAAAGTCTCATCTCTGGCCCCAGTGGGGCCGTCACAGGTCAGCAGCCCATGACCCCAGTTGTAGTTTGTTAGGGCCACAGGTCAGGATCCAGGCTTAGAGCAGTGATGGCTCAGAGCCGTGTCTACGATCCAGTAGGTGGGCAGCAGACACTGTCCTGTAATAGTGGGACAAAGCCAAACCTGGGGTCTGATGGGCACAGAGCAGTGGCAGCTCCCACCACATATGGTGAGGTGCTGTGGTGCCCCACCCCCAAGATCAGGGTGCAGCAGTGACAGCACCAGCCTGTGAGAGCAGAGGGGGTGGGAGGGCGTGGGCTCGGGGCAGCTCCATCAGCTGGAGTCAGCAGTGGTGAAGACTGGGGAGACTCCTGTAGCAACGTCTGCTGCCTCTGCAGCAGGGTATGTCTTGCTGGGGTTCTTCTTTCCCCTTGGGGTGAACTTGTTCTGAGGGGACCCCTCTTGGTGCCAGTGTACTCGTGACTAAGGGATGCAGTGACACAGATAATGTGTTTCTTGTACTGTTCTATGCAGTCCTCAATTTTTAACTCTACAGGGTTTTTGCTACTTCTTTGTAGTCCTCCGAGCTGGTTTTCTTCAGTTTATAGTTGTTTGTTTATTGTTTTGTTTTGTTTATCTCATGTGGGAGATAAGCACTGGGGCCTCCTAGCACTCCATCTTGCTGAGGTCACCCCCAGAATATTTTGGTAAAATTGATTGTGCCGGAGGTTAAGGAAGAATAATACAAATCATCTTTATGATTCTCTTTTGAACCCGAGCTTAGTTATTCTGTCTACTTACAAAGACACTTACAAAGTTTATATATACATAAAAGTTTATGTATATACACATATACATATATTACCATAATGTCCATTTTAAGCTAGGTGTTTTAATATCTTTGCATTTGTGTACCTGGCTAGTTATAATATAACTGAAGTATAATAGCTACGTCACTGACTTTTCAAGTATAATTTTAGGACCTCATCATATCTTCAATTTCATTGTAAATTGCCACGTAGAAATTTAAGTTGTTGGTCCAGTTAGGTTTTTATGAACTCATACTGGGCTCAATTATCTTTATGAATACCTTTTCTTTTATCCTGAAACTTTTATTCTTGCAAATATATCCTTTTCTTACCTGAAAATTTGAGTCACACAACTTCTAGGAATAGTCATGTGCCACTTAACAACAGGGATGCATCTTGGAAAATGCATATTTAGTATATTTTCATTTCATCCTTGTTCAGACGTCAGAGAGTGCACTTGCCCAGCCTGAGCTGGGAGAGCCTAGTATGACAGTTGTATACACTGTAATTTTATATGACTGGCAGTGCAGTGGGTTTGTTTACACCAGCATCACCAAAAGCATGAGCAATGTGTTACACTATGATGTTAGGACCTTCACTATATCACTAATCAATAGGAATGTTTCAGCTCCATTAAAATCTTATGCATCATTGCATATGCCATCTGTGGTTACATGCACATGAAGTATGCCTTTTCTCTTACAACTTAGTAGCAGTTATAATTTTAGGTTAATTAATTTTAAGTTTATAAATCTATCTTCTTATATATCAAATGAGAATAACTAAATCTATTTCTTAAAGTCATTATGACGATGAATAATGTTATGGAAAGCACACTGCCCAAACATAGGATGTTCTATGCTTAAAACATAGTAGGTTCTTTATGAATGTCAGTTCCTCTCTCTACACCTCAGTTTTATTGGGCTTGTATTGCTGATTTGACTTTGAGTTGGCTTCCTCCACTGTGTTTTTCTTTAACTTAAGAACCATAAAAGTTTCTCAGTTCTTGGAATAAATAATCTCTTAAATTCTAGGTAATATTTCATCCTTAAATTTTAGATAGGAAGTAAAACAGATTTACTGCTGAATGAAAGTAGCCTCATAGTAAATCAGCAGCTTTGAGTCATTGCTGTGTGAAGCACATTGAACTACATGACAAACTTACAATTATGCTCTTGCCACTTTGAATCCTCTGATGGATAAATAAGAAATAAATCATTTCTGTACCAAAATGTTTTTAGCATATTTTGAGCTAAGTGTCAAGCTTCCTAAAGGACAGTTTTCAGAAATTATGACAAGTTAATATAAAAAAAAAAGATTAATGTTAAGATTCAAAGAAATGTTGTGATTATAGTGAACTTAGATTAGTCAGCGAGCTATCATGAAGACCCGAGGAGGGAGGATTCCTTGGCAAATGGAAGTTAAAAAAGAAGAAAGTGATATATATCTAGATATGTAGATATATATCTATACACACACACACACACACACAAACACACACACACAGGTAAGAGATAACAATTTACTTGCATAAAATAGCCAGCAAAATGTTTGATTTGAGTGAACAGAGCCCAAGAAATCACAGGGCACACATACACCCAGTGAGCACATGCGCACACGCACACGCACACACACACACTGACAGCACAGTGGGAGGAGGGGCCAGATTACTTCTCTTAGAAGGTGGGTCAGAACCTGAAATCTGATGGTCAGCTTCCCACCTGTTGGACCCTTGGCCTGGGCCACACAACACAACAGCTTTTCATGTAGATGATGAACTGTGAGCTCTTCCTTGAGTCTGTGCAGCACAGGTATTGATTTAGGACCACAAACCAGGGCTGGGCCTTGCCAGGAAGGGCCACCAGTCCTGTTGGTGGCTCATGGTGCCTCTCCCAGGTTCTTCTTGTCCCTGCAAGTGACCCCTTTTTGCTGACACCTTGGCTCCACCACATGGATTAGCTGCTGACTCAGATTTGATCTTTGTTCAGCCCAGACATGGCCCCAGGCATTTTTCTTCAGGGTACTGTTTCACATCTCTGCGTTGAGGTGCATTTGTGTGTGTGTGTGTGTGTATGTGTGTGTGTGTCCGCTAGAAACCAAGCACATGCCCCCTGTGATGTCCGTCCTCTCCTCACGCTATTGCACATTTGCAGGAGCTGACAGGCAAGCTGCCCCTTGAAATACCCTCTGGACCCAGGGGAGGAACCACTCGTTGTTTGAAGAAGAATCGGGATGGCCTTCAAGCTGGATGAACAGAAGATCCTGCCCGAGGGAGAGGTGCGCCCTCCTTGCTGTGTTGGATTCTCTCACATGCTCCTCATGTCTCCATGTGTCAGGGCTTCCAGGTTTTCTGTGGCCGTGGCAGCATTCTGCCCAGTGCCAAGTGCCCTTCCCCATCCCTCAGTGCCTTCCTTTGCCTCTGGTCACCCTGGAAGGTTGTCTGGATGTGGCTCCATTGGTGGGATTAGCTTGCTTGAGCTCTCGTAAGCATTTTTGGTGGAAATCTGACACAATAGGCCTGTTGCAAGCTGTTAAATTAATCTTAGGAGAACATTCTAATAGTACCCATTATCCCCACTCGAGGACATTTTTCCCTATTTTGTTCAGGTAGAGTGGGAGGAAGAGAGAGAGAAACATCGACATGAAAGGGACACCTCGAGTGGTTGCCATCCACATGACCCTACCAGAGCTGGGGACAAAATGCAACCAAGGTCTGTGCCCTTAGCAAGAACCGAACACTGGTCTCTCCGGACCACAGGTCGATGCTCTAACCGCTGAGCCAAACCGGGCAGAGTCATTGCGTGTGTTTTTAATGGCCTCCCCGCCCTTTGTTGCTGAGGGCCAACTGTAGGTTAGCGTGGTCAATTTACAGGAACACGGGTGACCTGGAGCCAGTGGAAGGGGTGGACCTGACTCCTGAGATCTGCACCAGGAGGTCCAGGGTGGCTGGTGGCCGCACCAGAATGCTCCACCCAAATCGAAGTCTCAACCTGGCAGCTTCCGGTTCTGTACAATGCAGGTCATAGTCCTTATTCCTCTGGGTAGTCTCTAGAGTTAAATGAGCTTGTACATGGAGGGAATTTACCTGGGTCTGCACACCTATGTGGTCATCAGTAGGCATGAGTAGCTTGAGGTGGAGGGGACAGAGCAGGACAGTGTGGCGCTGTGCAGGGGTAGGTTCCATGGGATCAGAACTGGGTGAGGGCGGCTGGCCTTAAGACCATTTGGTCAAGTATTTCTCAAATTGTCTGTCATTAGAATTGCCTGGGAACTTCTCTCCTGTGCTGGGCACATCCAACTTTTATGAGGAGACTCCCACCTTGGTGAGTGATCCCCCACCCCAGCCCCATCATCCTTCCCACAGCCCCTCCCTCTGCACCTTCTCCCCAGCTGCTCCTTCACACTGTCAGCAGATGGCGCTTCAGTTCCCCGAGGGTCCATGTCCATCCCCATCTTCCTGGCCTGTCCCTGCGCACATTGGTCTGGAATCACTCACGGGGAGGACCGCAGAGTTAGCCTCCGTGCTGCAGAGCTGCTCGGGGAAGGAGGAGCTCCCGTTTCTCCTGGAAACGCACCTGGTGGCCCCGTTCATGCCGCTGGCGGACTCTGTGCAGACGGGCTGCCAGCACTCGCCGGGCTCAGTCTGAGTCGTGAGAACTCGTCCTGGGCGTCCAGGAAACATGGGGCAGTGTTTGTTTGAACCAGGGCTCAGCACTGCTGTTAGGGGGACACAGTCACAGTGCAGCCCTGTCCCTGCTGACTTGTTTCAAATGCAGTGGGATTCGAAGGATCTGAAAGTTTGTTATTGCCTAAATAATTCTGCTTAATCTTAATTTTTCTTTCTCACTTTTGGTCTCTTCTCCCTCCTTCAGGCCTAAATCATCCAGATCAAATCAAGCTGAGAGTTTTTCCCTGGATGGAGGCCCCAGCCTGGGGCGTGGTGCCCAGAGGCCAGAGGTTTTACAGACTTCTACCTGTGAGGAACTGTCTGTTGATTCTGAGAAACCTCACACTGTGCTCCTGGGGAGCCAGGGGAGTTCCTGCCAGACCTGGCATGACTGGGAGTCTCCCAGGGCCAGATGCAGGTGTGGTCTTTCAGGGCATTTTCTGAAACAGCTTCATTTCTCCTGTGACCAAACTCTGTTTCAGGAAAAATTCACCCATTTGCTCCTTGTGGCCAGGGTAGAAAGGGAGGTGCACACGGAGAGGAAGGGAGCCCGGACACAGTCCTAGAAGCAGAGGACCCTGCCCCCCTGTCACCAGCCATCCCCGCCTTCCAGCCCAAGCAGAGCTGTCATGAGGAGCCAGTGTGAGAGGGACACTGGGACATGCTGAAAGGGCTCCCAGAGAGATGTGGGTGAGTGGGGCCAACACAACACCATAGGCTCAAAACAGGACAGACAGAGGGGCATGTGGGAAGTGGGGGAAGGGCGTGCAGGAAGGTGGGGGAGGGGCACCTCCCAGCTCCCTGTTCACAGACCAGCAGAGGAGCAGGACAGAAAGCTGCTCTGAAAATAGTGCTGCATCCTGTGCACAGACGGAAGGGAAATACCAACAAAGTGGATCTGAATTTCCCTGCAGCCTTGGTCTTCTTGAACCGTGCTGGAGACCATGGAAATGATGCCAGGAGACAAGGCTCTGCATGGGGACTCTGCCTCTCAGGGATGGACCCATGTTCAGACCATTTTTGCCTCCAGAGTGGGACAGGAACCAAGGGTCTCAAAAGTGCATGGCCCAGGGCACCGGCTGCCAGAGATTTTCGGACGCGGCCACTGCAGGCTCAGGCAGGGGAGGGTTAGGCAGTGGGGCTGCTGGGTCCCCAGTGCCTGTGGCTCCAGCACTGAGGAAGGCTGGCTCGCCTTGGGACAGGAGAGGGGGCGGAAAGGCCAGGTGTCCCCTTGCTGAGCATCCTGAAATGTGAGCCCTGGCTCTCCCTCCCACAGGAAGCGAGCTGGAAGGCCTGGGAAGAGAGTTTGCCCTTTAATCCCAGATTACGGAGGCTGCCTGCCGCTTCACCAGGCACCCCAGTGTCAGCAAAAAACTGAAGAAATGGAAAACTTCTCATCTGGATGCACTGAAGAAGCTGCAGGGGATGGAGAATGCAATCAACGAGAACCACAGTCTGGAAAGAAACCCACCCACAAGACCTCGCTCATCATCGACGGTCAGTGCTGAGCCCACTCCCCACAGCGGGCTGCCCCCACTGCCCCGGGGAGGGGGTGCCAGTCCTGTGAGTGGGCCAGAGCCCGACTCCTGGCATGACCTCAGCAAGCTACTTAACCACCCTGTGCCTTCATTTTCCCACCTATCAAATGAAGTTAATAAGTCCTGAGACCCAATGAGAAGAATAAAGTGCACTCAGGTCCTTAGATGAAAGGGTTATGCCAACCAGACTATCATTATCACTGTTTATTGCCTCTCTGGGAGAGCCTGCAGCCATGAGCTAAGTGCTAAGCCCGTGCGCTAAGCCCAGTTGACTGTGCCGGTCCAGCTGTCCTCAGGCCTGTCCCAGTCTGGAGGGACAGGTGGACAGCTGGGCTGCCCACAGCCAGCACCCCATCACCTCTGTGCTCCTTCATGATGGGACCCAGTTCCGAAGCTGAGCTAGGAGCACCAGGCTGCCCACTCTGACTGTCTGGAGCCCTGAACCCGGGGCAGGACAGCTTAGGAGTTTGGGTGACTATATTTGGGAAACACTAGAAGGAAAAACCCCCAAATCCAACAACAATCATCACAAGTTCCTCAAATGTTAAAATCTTGTTTTTTCTAAATAAGCAAAGTATTTAAAACAAACACACACACATATATCAAGTTTCATTCTGTTTTAAATATTTAAAACTCTGCAGGAAGACAGAAAGCAGAATGATGGCAACCAGGGGCTGGGGCTGGGGCAATGGGGACTTTGTGTCAACTGGGACAGAGTTTCCCTTTGGGAAGATGAAGACCTTCTGCTGATGGACGGCAGTGATGGTGACACAACAATGTGAATGTACTTACGGCCACTGAGCTGTAGAGAGAATTGGTTAAAATGGTAAATTTAATGTATGCTTTACCACCATTTTACATATATATAAAAAACATGTATGAAATCTGCAACCTGAAACTGTGGGCATACCAAAGAAGCGATGATGTCCTAAGTTCTAAGACACCAGAGTCCCCTAGGTGTTCTCAATTCATCGATTCCTGGTTTATTTTATCATTTTTGTGGTACATGCCCCTAGCAGGACCTGAACCTGAGACTCTCTGGTCCACACGCCAATGTTCAACTGCTGAGCCAAACTGGCCAGGGCCATCAATTCCTGGTTTAAAAGAGAAGAGAGGTCATAAGCAATTTCTTTGCTGTAGTAAATGTGGAATAACTATCCTTTCCCATATCACCCTGTTGTCTTTGGCCAACACTTGGTCACTTTCCCCCCAACTTCCTAGCAGAGCTGCCATCCACAGCCCTTCTTGAAGGCACTTGGGGGTCCTGGCTCCAGCGGAACTTCCGGGGTGGGCACAGAGCCCAGTTTGAAGGGTGCTGCAGAAGGGGTGATCACTGGTCAGCCACAGCAGGGACTGGTTTTCTGGCCAGCCCAGTGATGGCTGTTCTGTCCGGAATGTGACAGAGTCTGTTTTCACATCAGGTCTGTACCAGCTGGTGACTGGACCCATCCAAGCCTGCAGCCACTTTTTATTTCACCTCACCTGAGGACATTTTTTCTATTTTTTGTTCAGATAGACTATGAGGGAGAGAGAGAGAGAGAGAGAGAGAGAGAGAGAAACGTCGATGTGAAAGGGACACATTGAGTGGTTGCACCTGCACGACCCCATCCAGGGCCGGAGACAAACTGCACCCGAGTACGCGCCCTTAGCGGGAACCAAATCCAGGTCTCTTTGGACTGAAGGCCGACGCTCTAACCACTGAGCCAAACTGGCCAGGGCCCTGCAGACATTTTTTTAAACCTTCAAGAATATAGCTTCTCTGTTTTGTTGCCTCTTTCAAGTAATGTTCTCATCACACAAGCCCATCTGAATTAGAGGGTTAATTAAGATCCTTTAGTTCTTTAGCATGTTTTTTCCAAAATAAAAACACTAAGGTTGGTATCTGAAGACCTGGGACCTTACACTAATGTTGCCAGGAGAGTGGAGCCATCCTAGACAAACCAGCTCCCCAGATGTGCCTCAGTCTCCCCAGCTGTCAAGAGGAGAGGAGTACTTACTGTCTTCCTCTTTGGCATGTTCACATGGTGAATTGAATGGGGTCTATGAAAATAAACTTTGTAGAAATAGAAGCTGTATTTAGCAACGTTTTTCTTTACAATGACTTAAGAAGTTCATTGAGAAGCCATCTGTTGCCCTGTGAACAAAGCCAGGATTCCTTATGCTAGTTTCATGTGTGTACAATAAACAGCAGTTCACTTCCATTGGTTCAGTCAGAACAGGCCCTGGGGTTGGGCAGGGACAGTGCTGTGGCCTAACCAGGCCGGGCAGCCTTTACACTGGACATGGAGCTTCTCAGCCCTGTGGTGCCTGACAGGATGGTGCGGTGTCAGGGAGGGAACATGCTGATGCCCCCACAGGACTGTCATAGCATTTTGATTGTTTCATGGGTTCTTTCTGATTAGAAAGAGAAGGCTGGCCAGGCCAGTGTGACTCTATAGTTGAGCATTGACCCATGCTCCAAGAGGTCGCAGGTTGGCGTTCTGATTAAGACACATGCCCAGGTTCTGGGCCCGATCCCCAGTGGGGGGCCTGCAGGAGGCGTCATCAGGGGGATAGCAGATGGACATCAATGTGTCTATCTCTCTCCCTCTCACTTTCTCTCTCAAATCAATAAAAAAAATTTTTTTTAAAGAAAAGGAAAAAGAAAGAGAAGGATATGGGATGGTGCTAAACAGGAATTCTATAGACAGGGCTTAGTCTAAGGGAAGTGATCATCTCTGACTTCTGCTTTCTTGTCTTCTCAGATGGAAATGTTGGCAGTGAAGACAGTCCCCTCTCAGATGCCCTTGTTCTGGAGGATGGTAGGTTGTCCACTGTCTGCTTAAGAACTGGGGGCTCAGATCACACTGGGGTACACTGTAGTTCGGGGTGGGCCAGTGTACAGGCGAGAGCCGGGCCCACATGGCAGCGGCCTCCCTGCCCTTCTCTCCCTTCCCGCGTCCCCGGGTGGGTCGGGAGCTGATTGGCGCTATGGAAACTGTGTCTGCTGGAATTTTAGTGTTTTCTGTGGCTGAGACGTGAGATTAAGGTGATATCCAGTGAGTCATATTTTGCCTTACTGGTTTCCAAACACTTACCTGAACAGAGACTCTGTGCACCATGCATAGTCTCCTTTTGAGTATAATTTCTGGAGGAGAGAGGCAGACAGAGGTTTGCATCACGAATCAAAGAGTGAAACCTGCTAGGGGAGCCTGGAGGTAGCAGGAGAAACAGCCGTGATCCCCACCCGGACCCCCAGCCACCACTTCACGTAGAAGAGGAAAGAATTCCAACCCAGAACGATCTCTGAGCGTGTTCCTGTGAATTTAACCTCAAATTTGTGAGGCCAGGGCATGAATGAAATGAAAATATATTAGGTGGCAGGTAATCGTTGCCCCATAGGGAAACTCATGAGGGCAGTGAGAAGTGGCTATTCAGACGGAAAACATCCAAGTTCTGCTCAAGTCAGAGTAATGAGGATAATTTCAAGAATAATAATAATTGCTGTTGACGTGGGAAAGGCAGGTGGGTTATTCACCCAGTTGTCTTGGCCCTGCTGTTAGCAATCAGAGCGTAATATTTTACTGTCGGCTGTCACATGGGTGGGGAGGGAACAGGGCTGCAGGGAGCAGGGAGGTGTGTTGTTGTTGTCGTTTACTTGAACAACAGAAATTTATTTCTGGAATTTCTGGAGACTGTGAAGTTCAAGATCAAGGTACTCGGCAGGTAGGTTTTGTTCTGAGGCCTCTTCTCATGGCTCGTAGGTGGCCACCTTCTCACTATGTGTTCACCTGACCTCTTCTTACTTATTTTTATTATTTGTTCTGGACAGTGAGATTTTTATTAAATTTTGTTTTCATTGTTAAATTATTACAGATATATCCCCATTTACCCCACTCCACTCAGACCCAGCCCTCCCCTCCCCCTCGGGCCCTCATCACATTGCTGTCTGTGTGCATGGCCTGTGCACACATGCATTTGGCTAGTCTCTTCACCTTCTTTCATCCTGTCTGCCCCTCCCCCTCCCCTCTGACATCTGTCAGTCTCTTCTAAGTATTCATGTTTCTGGTTGTGTTTTGTTCCTCAATTTATTTTGTTCTGTAGATTCCACATATAAGTGAGATCATGTGATATTTGTCTTTCTCTGACTGGATTATTTCATTTAGCATTATAATCTCCAGGTCCATCCTTACTGTCACAAAAAGTAAGGGTTCCTTCCTTTTTACAGCTGCTTAGCACCCCACAGTGTAAATGTACCACAGCTTTTTTATCTACTAATCTACTGATGGACACTCATCTGCTGAGCTGTTTTCAGATCTTGGCTATTGTAAACAATACAGCTATGAACATAGGGGTGTATCTATTCTTTCTGATTGGTGTTTTGGGACTCTTAGGATATATTCCCAGAAGTGGGATTATAGGGCAGTTTCATTTTTAATTTAAGCATACTCCATACTGTTGTCCATAGTGGCTGCACCAGTCTGCATTCCTACCAGCAGTACACTAGGGTTTCCTTTCTCCACATTCTCTCCAACCCTTGTTGTTTGTTGATTTATTTTATTTATTATTGTTTTTTTTGATCCTCACCTGAGGATATTTTTACATTTATCTTCAGATGTTGAGGCTGGGGACAAGCTGCAACTGAGGTACGTGCCCTTGGCCAAAATCAAACCCAAGACTGTTTGGTTTGCAGGCCAGTGTTCTAATCGCTGAGCCAAACCAGCCAGGGCAGTTTGTTGATTTATGATAGTAGCCATTCTGGCCAATGTGACTGATACCTCATTGTAGTTTTAATTTGCATCTCTCTGATGACTAGTGACTTGGA